GGAAGGCAGGGGCAAAAAGTCAGAAAAATTCTTCCTGCAAATTCATGGCTATTTCTCCTCAGTATTACTGGAGATTCATAGATGTTGGTTTCCTTCTGCCCCATCAAAGTGAAACAAAATCCCAGACAGCAAAAATGCACAAAAAAGCCGCCACTCAATAACACTGGTTTTACTTGGGAATCCTCTTTGTTTCTTTATTCTCCACTGGGAGTTTCTTCAGTGAACCTAAGTTAGCAGTGCACTTGACATGGGCTACTAAGGTTTTTTTTCAATCAAATTCTTCTGAATTAACTTTACTCTTAAATCATTGAAGCCAGTTAAATAATAAGAGACTAGGAAAAGTTCCAAGTTAAAGAACATGTGTAACATCAACTACTGCTTCAATGAGATTGGGAAAACAGTAAATTGTTGGAATCCTCCTTAACATCAGCTTTTCTCTCCCCACAGATTTCCACAAGACGGCACCATATGTGGTTACTGGAAGTGTAGATCAAACAGTAAAAGTGTGGGAGTGCCGTTGATTGAATTCACATTTGACCCCCTTTTCCTCTGGATGCACTCAGATACCATGGTTACCCATTGAGCTCTGTTTAAATAAATATTGTCCTTTCATGTAAATTATTCTGGATGTAGATTGAGCTTATTAAATGTTACACACAAAGTATTCATGCATGGTGAATCCAAATTGTATACTGTAAATTTACATACGTTGTCTAGAAGTACCATAGGTTTAAGAACATGGGCTGGCATTGGTCACATCAGACCTAAGAAGGCAGAAGTTGGATAACTGAAATAGGGCACTTAACTGAATAGTTGACAGTGTCGTTCTATGTCGGATAATTATACCTGTTTTTCTTTCTGCTGTCTGTTGGTGCCTGAATTGGTGACCTCATTTGGGAAAAGTTTTGTAGGGCTCTTTCAGAAATGTGTATCTATGTAACATCACTTAAGTGTGCTTAATAAATCTTCTCTAAGGATACTAGATAATAAGGCTGCAATTCAGAATCTTCTGAACCTTATATATAATTAATGGAAATTAATTAAACTTTGGAATATTTGTCATGAAACATTTGCCAAATCAACGGAATACACTTGTTTTGGCCTCCTATCACACAAGGGTTGGTATATTTATATAACTAACTGTAAAACTGAAATAAGACAACAAATCTTAGTAGCAGCTGATGTGATAAATGTATTTATTTTTTATTTGGTCATGCAATGGTTAAGCTGTGCTGTTGAACTAAGTTTAAACCATTTTTTTTTCTTCTCTTAATGCTGGACAAACTTCCAGGAGGAGTTGTCCATCACACTAGAATTTAGTGACCTGATTTCCAGTAGAGCTGAATCTCCCAAATGACTGCCATGGTACAACTTGTTTGCTTTCAATGTTCGTTAGAAATGTGCAATTCTCATTACACAACAGTATAAAGTACATTTCCCTCGTATTCACATGCAGGAGGTTGGGGTATACAAACGTTTCTTTATTTTAGTGCCTCCTTGGAAACCCTTTGGAAAATGAGGTTATATATACCTTGAAGACGTAATGTGGCTTGAATAAAAACTTACTTTGATTTGCATATTGAGAAATATCTTGGGATACAGTATTTAAATGCTTTAAAGAAAAGTACTAAAAACCTTGTACATCAGATTATAATGGCAGATTCAAATTGATAACAAGCTTTTAAAAAACACCTGAACAATCCATGTGTGGGAATGATGCTATCAAGTAAACATTAAAAAAGAAAAACAAAGCTTGAATTGGTAATTAGTATTTGCATTGTTGGTGTATACAGTTTTTAATTTGCCTATCCCTAAAGCTACCTATTTTGACCTGAAGTGAATGAAGATATAAGTGAATATTTTAATCAGCATCTTTGTGACAAATTCCATTGTAGATAATTAAGAGTTCCAGTACTTACTGAACTAACCAGGTCTTTTTAAAAATCCACTTAAAATTTACAGTATAATGAAGTACCAGTCTGACATTTTTAACAGGTGAATTTGTGCTTTGTTTTATTTGTTTTGTTTAATACATGGCTTTTAAAACTGTCCCTTTTAGAAGCGATTCTCCTTGGCCGGCACGGAGCGGGCCGGGCGCCCGCGGGAAGCGCGAGGGCAGGTTTGTTCCCGGGCGCGCGCAGGAGGCTCCGCTCCGCGGGGCCGGGAACGGGGCTCAGGCGCGGGCCGCGTTTGGGGCCGGCGCAGCAAGATTCAGGCTGGGCTCTCAAATCCGGTGGCTCGTGTGGTCTGAGGGGTGTGTTCTGCAGTTCAGCATGCACAGATGAAGTGTCTTTTGCTTTGCTAGCTGTTAGGACTGGAACAGTTTGCTGCTCTCTGTCCTATCTGAGGATTCCGGATAATGGTGCATCCCAATTCCTCAGTGCATCTGCGTCGTAACCTGTATGTCACCCGAATTCCAGATACGACCTAGGAACACTGCGTGTAGAGCAAACCGCACTGTGTACATAATTCATTAGACATGAATGCGAAGTTACAGGTACCTATTAAGTGGAAATTGTCCACTGCATTTTTCTCCCTTTAGCGTACAGCTGTTTACGGGGACAAACAGCTAAGTAAAGTCACGTAACAGCATTTTAATTGCTTGTAGGAAGCACCCTGCCGAGTACTTCTCCATTACAATTTGCAACCTTCTCCTTTATTAAGCAGTGAATAATCTCAGGGATGGTCCTGAACGGATCAAAAGTTAAAGCCCTGTTTAAGAAAAAAAAAAAGCAAAAGCCACAACACAGGAGTTGGATGTTTCCTGCAGTGTTGCTCCTTGATCCTACACTGTTGAACTTCTCCACTATTTGCAATGTTTTCTGTCAGCTGTCTAATCCTGTGCCTTTCCTGTGATAAATACAGTAATGATCTTACTGGTTTGGATTACAAAATAAATTATTGGAGGGTTTAAGAGGTTCACTGCTGCTTTGTCACTTTCCCTAAAAAATTGGCATTGCTTTGAAAAAACAAAAAACACAACTATAGAAACCATTACTTAATAGACAATACAGTTTTGTTGTTGTTGTTTTGGTGTAAAACCAGACAGACATTCCAGTGCCACACAAGTGTAACGTGCCCAGGAAGTCTTAGGTGCATTCTGAAAAGTGCAACATTTATTGTGGTTTAGGCATAATCTGGAAGTTGATCTTTTACAGCATCTTGCACTTTAGAAGACTAAAAAACCGTCCTGCTTTTGTGTATGGTGTGACCAATGATGTGCCCGGGGCACTAATTAAAAAGGAGAAAAAAAATAAAAAAAAGGAAAAAAAAAGAGTTGCTAGCAAGTTGTCCAAGGGCTGAGGAGCACTGTAGTATTTTGAAAGCTTTGGCTATAGACTCACCAAGCCCAGTCTACTTATGCTGTCAGTACCCTGCTTCTCCTGTTTGCCTCCTCCTGTTTTTCTGTGAACTGCCTGATAATACCACTCTTAAATAGCTTTTGACTCGCATGAAAGCTATTTAAAAGAAAAAGATTATACTTTGTTTTTGTAGACAGTGGTGGCTTGATAATCCTTTTAATGATTTGAATATAAAAATGCTGAGTTGAGTGCAGGAAAAATGCACTTAGAATTGAGTTATTTGCTGTCCAACTGTGCATAAAGTCCAGTGTATTTAAAAAGTCAATACCAGGAATATTTTAGCAAGTAAAATACATGTATAAAATGGTAGAAAAAAAACATTAGGTGTGGGGAAGGTTGAGTTGGATTTGCAAGTCACAACTGGATTTAACTGGCCTTTTTATCTTTCCACTGTGTCATGTAAGTAGCTGCTTTCCTGTCCCACCTATTCCTCAGGCTTCCCAGGTTCAGTCGGAAGATGAGTTAGCAAAATCGTCACGTCTTAGAAGTTGATCCTGACATTGGCATGAAGGCAAACGTCGGATCTTTTTTGTAAGAACGATGTTAGAGGCTGCAATTGGAGAAAACAGTTCCCAGACTGTAGGAGTTAACTAAAGATATTGACACAATTAAAAAAAAAATCAGTAAAGGAATGTATATAATACTGCTCTGTGTTTTACAGTAAGATTTGTTGCTCTCAGACTGTGTAAAACAAAATTTATCCATGTTTTCTGCATATTAAAAAAATCTTATTGTACCAATTGGTAAACTATTAAATGCATATAAAACTAGATGTGTTTTTGTTTCCTTGGATGCAAGAATTAAAACTATTTTGAAAAAAAAAAAAAAAGTTATTGGTGTTTCCCCCTTCAGCTTTTGCTCCACACCTGGGTTTTAGCTGGCTTTCATTCCAAATATGCTTGACTAAGAAATAGAAAGGCTTTTTAAGGCAGTTAGTTACAGTTAGAATGCTGTACAGTTGTGTTTGTGAATACGATAAAATGAGTGTTTGTTTTACTGCAGGTTCAATAAGGCAGAGTTTTGTGTGTGGTCTAGAGGGCTGTCCTCGCTGCGCTACCCCGTGTGTTCTGGCGCCTGTCTCGCTGAAGGAGAGCGGCAGCAGTGCACGCGGCGGGGCGGTTGTGCGCGCTGCGGCGGTTGTGCGTGCTGTGGCAGTGGTTGTGCGCGCGCTGCGGCGGTTGTCCGTGTGCCGCGGCGGTTGTGCACCCACCCGCCTTCCCTGCAGTCTGTGGGAATTCAGATCCTCCTCGGTGGAGGAGCCGCTTTGTCCTGGAGCGGTCTGTGTGCATGGGAACTAGTTCCGCGGTAGACGTTTGCTTTTCTTCGAGACTGGCCATGTAAACATTTCATATTCTTGAGGTTCTTGGCAGTAGCCTTAGGGCATGGTTTATACAGCGCGTTGGGCGCAAACGAGCGTGCGGTTCTGAAGAACTGCTTGCTCCGGAGTGGCGGTGGAGGAGCCGCTTTGTGAAGCGAGTGTGGAAGCGGAGCGGGCGGCGCCAGGGCAGCCCTGCCCGCTCCGAGCCAGGAGCAGCCTCATTTTCTGACATTCTCTTGAAAACGCTGGTGCAGGAGCAGGGAGGTGACCTGCTGCCTTTGGGCAAAGGCTTTAGAGGAAAACGAGGGTATCACCAGCAGGGCCGGGAATGCTGAGAGGGCTCTGACCAGCTGAGGAATTTCATTTTCTGCTTCAGTTCTGTGATTTATGTCAGTTAGGCTTCAAGGGAGCTTTTCTAAGTGTATGAGACACATTTCCATCATTTGCTCCTATTTGCATAGGAGGCTGAAGGATCTTAAAGCATTTTTCAGTAGATGGCAGGATTGAATGGGAAAAGGAATTTCAGATATAGGAATTTTGTTCCTTGTCAGGAAGGTAATTTATTCAAGTGAGTAGACATTTCTCAATATGGTACAAATGGAAAATGCAGTTTTCCATGGAACGCAGGGTCACTAGAGCACGTGGCACAGGACTGTGTCCAAGTGGGTTTTGAAGATCTCCAGAGAAGGAGACTCCACAACCTCTCTGGGCAGCCTGTTCCAGTGCTCTGGAGAGGCCGCCCCATCCTCCTCACTGCCTCCCTTGAGGTACTTCCAGACACTGCTCAGGTCCCCTCTCAGCCTTCTCTTCTCCAGCTGAACAGGCCCAGCTCCCTCAGCCTCTCCTCGTAGGGCAGATGTTCCAGGCCCCTGATCATCCTTGTGGCCCTGCGCTGGACTCTCTCCAGCAGCTCCACATCCCTCTTGTACTGTGGAGCCCAGAACTGGACACAATACTCCAGATGCGGCCTCACCAGGGCTGAGTAGAGGGGCAGGATCACCTCCCTGGACCTGCTAGAGATGCTCTTCTTAATGCAGCCCAGGATCCCATTGGCCTTCTTGGCCACGAGGGCAACTGCTGCCTCATGGTCACCTTGTTGTCCACAAGTTTACCTGGTGACTCTTCCAAAAACAGAACTGTCTTTAATGTCATGTGGTGCCTGATGATTTCAATTCCTGGGAATTGCTTTGTTGGGAAAGAAAGCAAGGAAGATTAAAAATAACCATGTTTTTCTTTATGCTTCCTTCAGGATTGCTGCTGGTTTTAATCTTCCTCTGATGTGATTACTTCATTTTGCTGCAGAATTGCCATACGTTTACCTGCTAGTTATGTGAGTAGATAAGGTCAGTAGTTCTGCCTGATATATATACATGGCATGTTAAATCCTGTTTGGCCCAGATATGAATAGATGTAATCTCATGAGAAGGTGGATTAAACTTAATTATGTCAATTATTACTAAGTTAGCTGCCCAGCAGATGTCAGTTAGCCCACGTGCAGGAGAGCTGCGTTGGGTTTCTGGACCCGGTAGCTGCTCAGAGCGCGCTGGAGCCGGAGCCCTCGGCGTTAGCTCTCCTGTCGAAGCTGGGGCTGCTGCCACGTGCTCGATTCAAAGTCAGAGAGGGGCAGAGAACTGTGCAACTTATGTTGTTAAATTATTGCGTTTAACAAATGCTACTCTTCAGGTTGCTTTTGGTTGTGCTGTTTTCTGTTAGCCACAACTTGCACATTTCTGGCCCACAGTCTGTGCACAAGGACAGCGCAGCGGACAAGAAGAGTAGTGTGGAGGAAGGAGGCAGGATTAAACTACACAAGCCTGTGAAAGGTCAGTGTCTGCCATGCAGCTTACTGAAGTGCTGCACAGGTTACTGCCCCCTTGAGAAACAGTGCAGGAGCTTTGGCAGTGCAGAGGGCCACAGCACCGCTCCTGCTGCCCCTGCACCAGGGGCCACTTTCACCCACATCACCCTAATCCTGACACAAATTTGCAGTTGTAGGAGTGTAAGGTCATTAAATCCTGTGCAAAGGGAAGGAACGGTGGCACTCACCAGTGTCTGGGCTTTCCTAATGGCTCTTGCTTAAAGGTAGATGTGATGAAGATGATGGTGCTTGGGTTAACGTATCTTAAAATTTCTCTTAAGTGTTAAAGAAATGGTGAAACTGCCTCCAATATGTTAAAGGGCTCTTAAAGGACTGAAAGACACTAGCAAAAGAAAAATCTTGTAGGAAAGATGCACTGTAGTCATTTATTGATTGCTTTCCAGGAAATTCAATTTTTCTGATAGGAGCAAGTTCTTTTGCAGTAAAGACTCCTCCTGTGTTGTCACCTCCAACACCTCGGAGGCAGCTCCCCTTTTCCCTTCCCCCCCAGCAAGTTACAACCGCCTGTAACGTAGTACAGGAGCCCAAGGGTACAGAGCACAGTGACAGCACTTGTTTCTCCAGAAGGTCAGTAAAAGAAGCAATGCAAATTAGCAGAGTACTACCCGTGACAGACAAATAAAGAGAGAGCCTGGACTCCTTCGTCAGCACAGCACGGTTTCAGCTAGCAATCGTTAACTTGCTCTGCAGCTTGATCATGTTGGAAAAAAGGAACATTCAACTCTGTCGGCATACCATGGTCTGCGGTGGCTACATCTGACTCACTTTGTCAAGGTAAAGAGCATGCTCTGCTTCCAAACCACGGTGGAAGGACGCGGTGGGAGAGGGGGTCACTGCTCACCCAGTGGCATCAGCCGCTTCAGTGCCCTCCATTGCCAGCAATGGAAGCTCCCCGGGAACATTGCAACCCCCCGTGCAAAACATTAAGAGTTCGGAAGATGTTAGACACAGTTCAATGCTAGGGAACCTTCCCCAAGGCCTAGTCGTTTTAGACTGTGTGAAACTAGTTATTTAAATCAGGTAAATTTTGCCAGTCCTGTTAGAGTTGATTAGCTGGGTAGTACAGGTGCTTTTTCCCATCCGCTCACATCCCTACTTCTGATCTCCTTCCCCTGCTTCCATAGGGCCGCTCTCCCTCCTGACTCAGGGTCAGTCCCTTATGGTCACCCTCTCCTAGGCACTGGGGTTTCCCTTGCAATGCAAGTTTGTGCGCTTTATTTTATTTTATTTTATTTTCTGACATTCAGCCCTCACTCTTTGGATACAGTATCTGAAGTTACTCAGCTGCAAGCAGAGCAGAGAGGTGGAACTGCAAGTTATATAATAAGTATATATATATATCTATATATATATATCTCTTGAAAATTAGAATGTGAATGTTACAAAAACTCTACTAAATAGCCAACCTGCCAACCAAAAGTAGAAAAAAAATGGTTAAAGGAATCCAATGGCTATATCCTGATGTAGAAAATGCTGTACATTCCCCCACTTACATACACATACACACACACATTACAGGCTTAAATCATCTGAGCACTACAAATATGGCTGCTTAGTTTTTCTTAGCACAAATTAGAAGAGGGATAGGGGGAAAAAAAGATCTTTTGGCTTCAAATCCATGTCTCACAAGGTGACCGAGCAGCGGAGGGGCAGGGAGGGTGTACTGGTTTTAGCAAAGCAGTGTCCTTAGTCAACATAAAATGACCTGAGAAATGTTCTACCTCCAGCCAGGTTGCTTGGAATTGGTATGTACAAAGGAGGGCCGTGATGCTACGCGCACCCCGCGGGGCCGCCCCCGGCGCGGGGCAGACACACGCTCACTCAGACACATTACATTTCTCAGATTAGTTCTTTGCATTGTGTATTAATTGTACCAGTGCAATAACATTGTCAAAAAAAGGAGGAGCTGCTCCAGGGGAGTCCAAGACCCTAGTTCAGGTTCAGAAAAGGGTGGTTTAAACTTTTTTTTGTTTTTTTTGTTTTTTTTTGTTTAAGCGAGGTACATTAAGCAGAGCTCTGTGTTAGGGGGATGGCAGCAGAAGGCATGCTGGGCGCAGCCTCTTTCTCCTCCAGGGCTTTGTCCTCAGGCTCCAGCTGTTCACCGCTCTTTATGCTTTCTTGGAGCTGCTGGCGCCGCTGCACCTCTGCTTTAAGGTTCTCCAAGTCTTTTTGGCTGAAGGGGAAACCAGGAAGGGGAGCAGGTGTTAGACGGGCGTGAGGAACGGAGCAGAGCCCAAGGACGAGGCAGCGTCCGGAGCATGAGGACGCGTTTCTGGCCCGTGGCTGCTCAGCACCAGCCTGCAGTGACGGGGACAGAGCAGCCCTTGCCCCGTGGGCCGCCAAGACGGGCGCTAATCCTGCCTGTAGCACCAGCCCCCAGCTGGACTTTCGTCCATTGCTTCTAGGTCTGAAGAGCGGGGTCCCAGCTCAGCCCTCTTCTCAGTGCCCCCGCTACCGTGTGAGAGAGGAAGATTCTCAAGTGAAATATAAATTTAGAAGAGACCATTGCAGTTACGCAGCGGTCATTAAAAGCCAGTAATGATCAAGGTCATTACTCTGGTCTCACCCCGTGCTCTCTGTAGCCAAGGCCTGGGCTGCGGGGAAGGACGCTCCTCAACACGCGCGTCAGAGCGAGCGCCCTTCTTCAAGGGCTAGCACGGGGCTCCTAACTCCGTTTCTCCCGCCCGGAGCCCAGCAGCCCGAGCTGCAGCCCCGCGTTGGCCGCCGCGGCCGGGCAGGGCCCTCTGCTCCCTGCCTGCCTGCAGGGCTGCTCCAACTCCGGGCGTTACCGTTCTCGGGACCGGAGCTGAGCAAACCGGGCGTTAGGCCACAGCATCACGCTACCTTAGTGGAATGAAGAGAATCCCATTGATGATGTTGAGCTGCTCCAGGACGCTGGCCATACTGGGAGCTGTGAACTACAAGGCAAAACAAAAAACCCACAGAAAATTAAGAGCTCGTAAGCAAATCTAGACCAAGCAACGGCTGTTCCCCTGCACCTGTGCCTCCTATGCTGAAAGGCATAGCTGTTACTAACAGTTACAACTCACATTAGTCACTAATTTTATTAGCTGCAAGACAGCATCACTCATTTTCCACCTCCTTACTCTAAGAAAAAAAAGAAATAAATCTGAATGGCCCCAGTCCCCTTGGGCAACCTCTCCCCTGCACTCCATAGCACTTGAGTTGAATTCCACGTATGCATGAGAAGAACCAGACCTCAAACACATTGATTTCAAACACTACACACTAACATATTTCTGCACATGCATTATCCCATGTGCAGAGATGAGGAAGACTCCCCTTGTCTTGGTTTTGGGTGTTCACATACATGGTTACAAGCACCCCTATCCCCATGTGCATGGGGCATGGCGCTAACTGTGCTCTGATCACAGTGCAAAAGGGGTTCCAAAGACAGATGGGCTCCTAGGGCCAGAGCATGACAGTGCCAGGAGTAACTGTATGAAGTGTGACATTGGCCCAAATCTAGCCACTATTCCACTGAGCATTGTAAAGCCGAGGTCAGATGCTTCAGTGCTATTGTGAGGGTTTGAGCCCCTCTGCTGATCTTGATGTTCGTCTGAAGTCCTCGCGCTGACGTTACTCGGCAGTGAGAGGAGAGCCCGAGCTCGCCCCACGCGAGCGGCCCTGCTCCCCGCGCTGCCGGGGACGGTGGCAGCGCTGCGGGCAGCAGCTGCTCCCGCAGGTC